CATTTTACTCACAAGGTTTCGTGTTTCTCAGTGGGCTTCCACTTGCCTCAAATTACTCACACTTCTGAGTCAAAGACCCCTGCCTGGCCATCTTTGTGAGCTAATTCCTCCTATAACGCAGCCCTGGAGTCCTTGCTCCTCCTCCTTCTGGTCCCACACTTCTATCCCCAGGCCAAGCACACACTCTCTCTCTCTCTCAGCCTCATTAACTTTTTAGGAATGGAATCTTTTTCCAGAGTGCCTGGACCTCCACCTGTTACAGATCACAACTGCACCATTCAAAGTCACCAAAGCCCCCAGGTATACCCCAAAAAACTGGTCTCTCCTCTGTCCAATCTTCTTTCAGACTTTATGAGCTCTGATTTCCACTTGCTTTTCTCATGGATGACTATCCAAGCCCTTGGGGTTTCAGGTATATCAGTCCAAGGCCAGTGCAAGTTCTTTCCTCCTAAAAACTCCCTGGGACTATTGTTCTGAAGCTTCTTTGCTTGCTCACCCTGTTGCTGTTGTTTAAACACTAAGTCATGTCCAACTTTTTTGCAACACCATGAACTGTAGCCTGCCAGGCTCCTCTGTCCATGGGATTTCCCAGGCAAGTATACTGGAGTGGGCTGTCATTCCCTTCTCCAGGGGATCTTCCCACCCCAAGGATTGAACCCAGGTCTCATGAACTGCAAGTGGATTCTTCACCATCTGAACCACCAAAGAAGCTCAAAACATAGGTTGGTGGGTTGCTCACCCTACTATAGCACAAAGCAACAGATCTAAAGGCAGATGAAGAGGACATGGGGGCCACCGGAAGCTGAGAGAGATGTCAGCTCTGAGAGCTTCTGGTCCCTGCGATGTCCTCCTTGAGCCAGCACACTCGAGGACTGATATTCTGACAATAAACTTACAGACCAATGACAGGTTTAAACTGACTTTGTATTTTAGCCCAAAGGGAAATTTAGAAGTATAGAAGTATAGCTTTGATGCAGTTTAGACTATTTTTCAAGTTTGAAAAGTACTTTGATTTGCATTTTCTTGCATGCTGTGTTGTCCTTTCAGATGTGTACTGCAATAGTTTGTCTTTTTTTTAACTGCAATAGTTTTTAAATCATTTTAAATTTTAGAATGGAAATCATCATGATTATTTTTCTTCTAAATTAGAGGTTGTTAAATTTCATAAGTTAGCAGAACATTAACCTCAAACAAAATTTTAGTAGAGTCCCCTCATATAAAAATAAGTAAAAACCGGGTTGCTGGGAAGGAGAGCAAAAGCAGTCCCTGAAGCATCTCTGCAGCTTCCAAAGGTGTTAGCCGCTCAGTTGTGTCCGACTCTTTGGGACCCCATGGGCTACAGCCCGCCAGGCTCCTCTGTCCATGGGATTTCTCAGGCAAGAATGCTGGAGTGGATTGTCATTCCCTTCTTCAGGGGATGTTCCTGACCCAGGGATGGAATCTGGGTCTCCTACATTGCAGGTGGATTCTTTACCATCTGAGCCATCAGGGAAGCCTATAACCACACTTCACAGAATCTAAAACACCAACTATTGTTAAGACATACCACATAGCACAAAGCTTGCCACTTAAAGTATGACATGCCACTGACTGATTGTCAGACAGAGTCAGTCTCAGAGCTGCAAAAATGTGGTCAATGTGTAGCTGGAATTGATGATTTACAGTAGGTATAAATAAATTACATATAAATTGTGTTCATTTACTCACACAGTCAATGTGAAAGCTAAATTTAAGTGATGTGGCAGCAATGGCTTTATATAAATGCCAGCTTCCAGGTACTTGGCAGCCAACAAGTGCTAACTGAGGGGTTCTGTCCTGAGTCTCCTAACCTTCCTTCCACATGTTAACATTTGCATTTACTGAGCCCCTGCCAAGCACAGTGCTGAGCACTATACATGCATAATCTCATTTAATCCTGATAAAGGTCCTCCACATAGGTATTATTCTTCTACTCTATAGAAGGAGAAACTGAAGCTCAGGGAAGTTCAGTGACTTGCCCAAAGTCATACAACTAATACATGAAACAGGTCAAATGGGCTGACTTCAAAGCCCATGCTCATTCTACTCTGGAATTTCCTGGAATTAGAGCATTTGCGGGGGGGGGAGGTCACTGCATCCCCATTCAAGAATCCCCTTGGGGTTTCCCTGGTGGCTCAGTGGTAAAGAATCCACCTACCAATGTAGGAGACACAGGTTCAATCCCTGGTCATGGAGGATTCCACGTGCATTGGAGCAACTAAGCCCATGTGCCACAACTACTGAGCCCGTGCTCTAGAGCCTGGGAAACACAACTATTGAGCCCACATGCCCTAGAGCCCATGCTCTGCAACAAAAGAAGCGACTGCAACAAGAAGCCTGTGAATGCAACCAGAGAGTAGCCCCTGCTCGCCCCAAATAGAGAAAGTCTGTGCACAGCAGCAAAGACCAGCACCACCAAAAATAAATAAATTTTTTAAAAATAGAGCTATCCAGACAGGTTAGATTTTTAATTTGTTGCCCATGGTTAATTCCCACAAAGAACCTTCTCCTAGAGCTCTGGGCTTCTTGCTGTTCTCTATGTTTAGGACTTTGAAGGAAACAAAACATTCCCCTATTTTAGCACTGGGAAGTGTAGAGTCTTAACCATTGAACCACCAGGGAAGCCCCTAAGAAACTTTTTTTTTTTTAATGCAGATTCTTGGAGCCCTCCTTCAAGGTATTTTATGTAGTGGATCTGGAATGAGGCCCGTGAATCTGCATTTTTTAAAAAGTACACCAGGTGACCTGGATATATGGGCAGTTTACAAACCTTTCATATAATCTCATGAAACCTTAGATACCATTGTTGGAAGAAGAATTTGAGCCTCATCAGGGAAGCAGGGACTTCTCCACAAAAGAAGAATGATTTTACATTGGTCAGAATAATCCAACACTGAGAGAGGAAAACAAAACCCACAGGAAACCCACATAAACCTCTGAACCTGACCTGTTTGGTCAGGGTGCGGTGGAGCCAGTTCCTCTCATCAACCAACTCTCAGCCCAGATCCAAACCCAGGTGTCATCAGGAAGGAAGACATCATCACTGGTTAAGATGTGATGTGTTCCCAGGCCTAACCTAAAATGTCTGTCTCCTAGGGTGGTTCCACCCCATGTCTCTGCCTTCTCATCAGCTTCTCTAAGATTCAGAGAGTGGAAGCTAAGGGCTTATCCCTAATGAATCAGCCCCAGAAAGTTTACATGGAGAGATATGAGTTTCTGTTAAGCTCGGGGGAAGGAAGAGAAAAGAGGTCTGGATGCAAACAGAGACTGGATGAGCACATGGCAGGCTTACTCTTGGGGGTGCTGAAGCATTCAATGCGGTGGGGTGTCAGTTTCCAAACAAAGTAAACTTCAAAGTCCTACTCAGTTTTTTAATTCAGCAAATCTCAAATCCACTGAGATTTCATGCCAGCCTCTGGTCTGAAGTGTGTAGAGCAGCAGTGTCCGATAGAACTTTCTAAAATGATGGAAATGTTCTAGATCTGCAGCATCCAATATGGTGACCACCATCCACATGTACCTGTTAAGCACTTGAAGCATGGCTAGTGTGACTGAGGAAATAAATTTTTGATCTTATTTTAATTTCAATTTAAAAAACCAATGTGGTTAGTGGCTACCATATTAGACATTGCATTTCAACCTTGTCTTGAACTTTGTGGTCACAGTTGCCTATTCAACACCAGCCTTTAGAAAAGCATCAAAGGCCAAAGCATGAGAAGATAAAATGTGTCATGAGAGACCACGATGAGGGACCCCCACAGAAGTCAGCAGCTGCCCAGTGTTCTTGGCCACCTTAAAGATAAAGAGAAATGACTTCAGGGATAAAGCTAGCAACTGTGAAGATACTGATTTACTTACTTGCTTGTTTTACATTTTGATGGTGCAGTGTAGTGTATGGGCTCTTAACCCCCCAACCAGAGATTGAACCTGTACCATCTGTGGTAGAAGCATGGAGTCCTAACCACTAGACTGTCAGGCAAGTCCCAAGATGCTAATGATTAACTCCCATCTCCAAATAACTGATCAGAGGGCAGTTGCAGGAAGTGTCACGGTTTCCTCCTACCTTCCCGCTATGCCGTGTGTTATGATAGTGACAGTCTCTACTTTCTTATATCTCTTCCTCCATAGCTGTCACTCTCTTCATATTGTATGTACGCTTCATTAACCCCCCTTTCACCAGCCAGTCCTGCTTCTATCTTAGGCCCAAGGAATTGCACAATTTGGTCAATCTGGTTAACAGTAGTTTCGATGAGAACTCTGGATAAAACCGGTCATTGGGCTGACCTGATAACCCAGCAGAGCCCTGAGGAGACAGGATGAAAGGGTCCTCCCACTTTCTCTTCCACCTATGCATATGTCCTGTGATTGGGATTCTTCTGCCCATGTGCAAGTGTCAGGGAAACCACCCTACATACATACAAAATACAAAATCCACCAAGAGATGAGGAGAACTGTGATTGGGGACAGTAGGGGCCCCTCCTCCAGCTACTCTTCAAGGATTTATTGAGAGCCTCCTGGGTATCAGGCCCTGTGTTAGGCTCCTGATGTAGACAGAGAAATTCTCTCCTCTGTGGAACTTGAAGCACAAAGAACTACTATTTACTGAGTTTCTACCCCATAAGAGGGTCTCCACTTCTCATAATCCTCCTAGAAGGTAAATATCATCACTCCCATCTTATGGAAACTGACATGGAAGCTCAGACTTGCCCAAGATCACCTTGGGCTAGATGCTCTTTTTGCTCTTCCATACTGTCCTCCTTGTGAAGTCTTTCCTCTATTTATCCCTTGAAAAAATGTCAAGCATTATTTCTTTAAAGCTTGCTCCCTTACCACTGGAGATTAAGGTGAATTGGTGACCTGGTGAGAAGGTGATCCATTTTTCGGGATCAAAGGCAAGAAGAAAGAATCACCACCACCCAGAGCCAACAAGAAAATGGAGAATATCATAGTTCAGGGAAATATGTATTTCAGAGAAAACTTACCGGCCACCACACCATATTTCGTCCTGCCAGGAAGAAGCCTCCAACGGTCCCACGGTTAGTGGAAAACATGGCCTGGGGAGGAAGTGTCAAAAACTTAATAGAAAACCAGAACAGAGTAACCTTGCGAGCCAAGAGGACATTCCCCATCTCCCCATTTACTCACACTTTCTTCAACCTACTTTACTTTCTGAAACAATTCCACACTCTAGGACATCAGGTCACAGCTCGGTACCAGGAAGAATTTCCTTGCCACCAGAGTCATCCAGGAATGGAAATAGTGCTCCTGGGGGAAGTTTCTGCTGGAAGTTTTGGAGTCAAGCGCTGACAATTTGGAGGCTTCCCAGGTGGCTCAGTGGTAAAGAGCCACCTGCCAATGCAGGAGATGCAGGTTTGACCCCTGGGTCGGGAAGAGCCCCTGGAGGAGGAAATGGCAACCCGCTCCAGTATTCTTCCCCAGAAAACCCCACGGACAGAGGAGCCTGGTGGGCTAGAGTCCATAGGGCTGCAAAGAGTCGGACACGCCTGAGAGACTGAGCACACACACATGCTGACAATTTGTCAAGGTGATTTTGTAAAGTGGTTTAAACAGAAGATTTGAAAATAGGATGAAGAGGGTTGAACATGATCAAGTTAGGTCCTCACTTTATGAGAATATGTGAGGGACACTGTAACAGCAGTGCAAGTGGTGGTAAGGACCATAAAGAGGGTGTTCCCAGAAAGGACAGAGTCTTAGGGAGGGGGAAGGGTGAGATATTGGAAAGAGCATTGCCTTTGGCATCGAAAGTTCTGGGCTCTGGTCCCAGCCCTGGGGCTGATTACTGAGTGGCTTCTAGTCACCCTCTCTGATCCTCGTCTGTTAAATAGAAAGGCTAGGCTCTCCCATTACGACTCAGGCATCTAATGATGCTGTTAATGCAAATGCTGCATAAAGCAGGGGTCAGTACATTTTTTTCCATTAAGAAAAAGGACATGTGATGTGAACTTGTGCTTAGTCATGTCCAACTTCTTGCAATCCCATGGACTGTAGCCCCCCAGGCTCCTCTGTCCATGGGATTTTCCAGGCAAGAATACTGGAGTAGGTTGCCATTTCCCCCTCCAGAGGGATCTTCCCAACCCAGGGATCAAACCCTCATCTCCTGCATCAGCAGGCAGATTCTTTACCACTGAGCTACCTTGGAAGCTCTAAGAAAAAGGGCCAGGTAGTAAATAGGCTTTGTGGGACATATATGATCTCCACTACATATTCTTTTCATTTGCTTTGGTTTTTTACAACCCCTGAAAAGCATTTTTTAAAAAATCTCAACTTGTAAGCCATACAAAAATAGGCTGTGGGCCAGATTTGGTCCATGGGCTGTAGTTTAGCAATGCCAACACAAAGGGTTTCAGGATATCTTAATGAAGTCTTCCAGAAGGAATAGTCAGTCGAAAACGATACAAAACTCCCCATAGGAGGTGGTGAAAGACACATGGAACTATACCGTAAAGAAATAAGAAATTCAAGAAACTCAAGCCCAGATACCATTGGATGAGGCAGCATTTTCCAATGATTAAAAGGATTTTAAAAAAAGAAAAAATACTGGGAGAGACAGGGATGGACAAAGGGATTCTGGCCTGGGTGCCTTTTCTAAGTTGGGGAAGCACAGTGGGCCTGGATGACTGTTTCTGCAGCCTAGAGATCACACAGGAGTCAGGATGTCCATCCCTGAGCCAAACCACTCTTGACACTCTGTTGGAAGAAAAAAACTTAAACTAGAAGAAAGCTAGCGTGTTAAATGATCAGGGGGTCGGAGGCACTAACTAATAGGGAAAGACTAACTGTAGACAAACACTAAGAGGCTCATTAGGCAGCATTTAACAAGACAAGTAATACAAATTCACAGATAATTGAGAAGTGTAAACACCATAACCATCGGGACTGGCGGGCTAAAATGAGATTGGTTAGGGGAGTTGAGCTTATCGACAGTTGTCAGGGAAACAGGAGGTACCGCTAGCAAACGATGGATTCCCATCTCACTTGCAGCACTTATTAACACAAGCTGGGGTGAGGGATGAAGGCAGACAGAGCACACGGTGTCATGGAAAACTGAGAGTCAGTGACCTGAGTTCCACGCATCTCAACCTTAGGCAAACCACAATCACACAGAGCTTCCACTTCTTATTCTGTAAAACGAGGACCAGCATTCCTGCCCTCCTTGTGGCTTTTTGTGAGATTTCCTGCCCATCTGACCACTTTTGCCAATTTTACTTAAAAGAATAAAAATCATTCAGGGTCTGACTCGTACCCTGGAGAGCAAATGATAGTATTAGGTTAGCCAAAAATTTGTTTGGGTTTTTCTGTAAGATATTGGAAAAACACAGATGAACTTCTTGGTCAACCCAATTATACTTTTAAAAGATTCCTAGAGTCCATAATGAGCTTTCAGATGCATCTCCCAGACCCTCACAGCCATTTATGAGGAGTCATAAGAACAGGTAAGATTATACCCATTACACACCTGAAAAAACTGAGACTGGGCAGAGTTACCAACACTGAAAGAACACTGGAAGGTGTAGAAGCCAGTGCTAAACCTGAGAACCTTGGCCCCTGGCTGGACTTTCCAGAGTCTAGGAAGCTGAGGCTACTGAGCAAGAATCAGTCACATAGACCCCTTGTGACACTTAAGGCCTTCAGTCACATCTGGTTTCTTTTTAAATTACACTTTTCTTTTTAAAAATCAATACTTCCCTCTTTCTGTTAAAAAAAAAAAAAGCATTCTATGACCATGAAGGGGTTAATGTCCACCCTCCTCTCCTCTAAGTCAAAAGATTTCAATCACCTGCTAGCACCTCAGCTTCCTGGCCTGCCAACCCCCCCCCCCACCCGCCATGGAAGCCTTTGAGAGTGACTGGAAGATGTTCACACTTAAAACACCTGTCTTCCAGTTGCTGGGTGTGCCAGAGTCTGTCCCAAGTGAAATTTCCAAGTTCAGGACTGCTGAGAACGAGTTTCTCTGGTTTGGTGTGTCCCCAGAGTCCCAAGAGGGAGCCCAGTCATTTCCTTCTCCCCAGCCCAGCCCAGGCCACACTCCGACCTGCCTCCTCCTCCTCCTCCTCTCCCTGGGCCCAGCTTTCCCAGCTCTCTCTCACTTCAGCCCCTGCACGGGCACTGAGCCTGTCCCAGGAGGGGCCGCCCCACAGCATCTGCAGCTGACAGGTGCTGTGTCCTTCCCGACCCACCTGTTTCTCCTCCATCTGACTAAAGGCAGGAGGTAGTCACCTCCCTGAGTCTCACTTCTCAGCCCTGGGACCCTCTCTGTAGCTGCAAGCGGGTCCTCTGCTGCCTCTCAAGCCCCCAGCCTCTCCAACCTCTCACTCTCCTTCTCTGCCCACTGGCCTGGGATGGGGAGCCTCCCTGGACACTGACCAGCACCCCTCACTTCTGCTCACCCTTGCTTGCCCCCTCACCTCACATGGTGCCCCCTGAACTCCTCTCAGACGTTTGCAAGTCACTTCCACCTAGCTCCACATACCCTCCAGCCCACCCTCCCCTCCTCAGGCTTCACCAAGACTATGGCTTCTCCGCGGGCCCCCTTCTCCCTCCCTCCCATTGGCCCTTGCGCCCTCAAGCCCCGTGTTTCAGGATCCCCCACCTACCCACAGTCCGACAGCCATCACCACCACGAAGTAGATGACGATGACAGAGATGTCAGCTGCATTGCGGATGCGCTCATAGGCCTTGAGGGGCTCGGCAGTGGTCGTGGCCAGGGGGCTCCAGGTGCTACCGTCCATAGTGGCAGCTGCAACGTGTCCCTCCTGCCCGGGCTGTTGGTTCCTTATACAGCCTCCAGGTTAATGATCAGCCTGGGGGAGGGGACCTGTGAGCCTGGCAGCAGGACTGTCGTGCGGGGGCCCCAGCGCTGGTCGGAGAGCAACTCTGAGTGCAGAATGAGGACAAGCTGGCAGAGCTATTGGCAGGAGGTAGGCGGGTAGGTAAAGGCTCTCCAGAGAGCGGGGTGGGGCCAGCCAGGGGGTGGTGCCCACGGAGCACAAAAGCCCGCTGTGCTCCCATCACTGGGCACCCGGCAGCCTCGCCCGGCCTGCTGTGGGGCCACACCCAGGCCAGGGCTCCAGCGGCTCTCTTGAGGAGCCAGGCTGCCTGGTGCTGGGGACCTAGAAGCTTCAGGTCACCTGCCACCTGCCCGTGGACCAGTCTCGTGTTCTCCACAGACCTGGCTTCTCCATGTGTAAAAGGCATGCAGGACTGTCCCAGGAATCAGCCAAGTTCTTGGTCTCCATGGAGAACATTCTGGGGAAAATCAGAAGTAGCTGGATGTTGCTGAAGAAAATTCAGCACAGTGGCAGTATCTTAGCCAATGGGATGACCGCTCACCCCCCCCCCACCTTTCTGCCCCTCCCTCTACAACCTGCAGCCCCCCACACACGGTTATCCCAACTTAAGGAGGGAGACACCGAGACTGGGAAAGGGGAGCTATTTCCTTGCCCTGTACCTCACCCAGTGATGTTATTTGGGGCCCTTCCAAGCCAGGGAGGGAAGATGCTAGAGAATCCCTCCCAAGGAGCTCACCAAACCCTGGCCCTCTCTGGGGCTCAGCCTGTCCACCTGGAAACACATGTCTAATCTGGAAGTCAGGGCTCAGAAGAGAGGGCAGTGAGGAGAGGCATGGCTCACCTGAGGGCACGCAGCGAGCCAGTGACGGAGGTGACCATGCAGCCCAGGCCAAGGCAGGCCTCGTTCAGAGGAGGGTTGGGATGCTCTCAGGGGCTGGTGCTAGAAAACCCCGAGCAGGCACTCTAGAGAGGGGAGCCTTGCTGGGTGATGAGATGCTTAGAGTAGGGAAGGTCCACCCAAACCCTGCCAGGACGCTATGATGCCTTGGGCCCTCCCTGCCCACCAGACATCCAACCACTGCTTAAAGTCAAGCAGCCCGTTCCTTTGCACCTCACTGCCTCCACGGGCTACTCCCCTCCTGTCCCTCCAGTGCCTGTTCGTCCCCTCTTCCCCATCTGTTCCCCAGGATAATAAACTCTATGAGGCTATGTCCAAGGCCCATCATAATACCTGTCCACCACGTGTGTACCTATGGTACATGTGTACCTGATTTTTGTTGGTGTTGATGTGTGGCAGAAACCAACACAACATTGTAAAGCAATTATCCCCCAATTAAAGAAATAAATAAATAGTGAAAAAAATTATACCTGTCCACAGGAAAAAGAAGTTCCCCATCTGGGGATCTTGGGAGCAGCGGCTCTTCACAATGGATGCCTCCCATGAATTAGAGCTCAGCCACCAGCCACAGTGTGGAGCCACTCACCCTCAATCCGTGTCTATCAGCTCCCACATTGAGCAAAGATTTTTTTTCACCTGGCTCTGTGCCAAGCAGAGTGCTTGCCCTCAGGGAACTTCCAGTCTAATCTGGAAGTGAACCCCCACACCCGAGGAAAAGTCCAGCACTGAGCCCCCAGCTGCAGGTAGCCAGCCCATGCCCAGTTCTAAAAGTGAAGTCTGTGGAAATGAGAAAACTTAAAACGTGAGTGGGAGGTAGGCTCAGAAATGTTAATGGACCTCAGGGGGGACACAGCTGTTCTGTGACTCTTTCTAGGACAGCAGAACATAGGTGGCCAGAGGAGGTAAGGTGCGGGTGGCAGCCAGGGAGAGACAGAGAATGCACTCATTCATGTATTCATTCATTCATTCTTGCAACAAAAGAGCAGCTTCTGTGTGCCAGGTCATTGATGACACTGGGGTTACAGCTGTGAATGAGACTCCCAGGGTTCTTGCCCTTCTCACAGGGCTTCCAGCCCAGTAGCGGAAACAGACTGTCAGCAAAGATGAGACATATACTTCTAAAATTAGCACAGTGATGTGTGCTTTGCAAGAGAAGCACTAATGCTCCAAATATCTAGCAAGGATTTTGACCCGGGAATGAGTTGAGGTTGCCGGAAGGTCTGGTTTGGGCAGGACCCTGAAACGGAAGGAATGAGTCAGGTGAGAGGGGAGTGAGGGATGTGCCAGGAGAGGGCAAGCATGGTGACGGAGGGGGAGGATTCGTCTGCAGTGTGTAAGGAGTCACCAGCTGGGACTGGAGATAAAAAATAAACTAAAGGCACGTCATCAGCAAGCAATCCCCACCATGGCTATCCCCAAGCTTATCCCCAGGCTTTGAGGTCCTTTTGCAATTTCTCTTCCTCATTGGTCTTGAACAAATTAAGCCCAAGAAAACAGTATGGAGGTTTCTCAAAAAATTAAAACTAGAACTACCATATAAACCAGCAATCCCATTTCTGGGAATATATCCAAAGGAAATAAAAACACTGTGTCAAAGAGATATCTGTACTCCTGTGTTCGTAGCAGCATTATTTGCAACAACCAAGACATGGAAACAGCCTAAGCACCCACTGATGGACGAATGCATGAAGAAGGTGTGATATATATCACACGATGGAATGTTATTCAGCCATACAAAAAGAAGGACATCTGGCCATTTGCGACACCATGAAGGAAACTTAATGGCATTGTGCTAAATGAAATATCAGGCATGGAAAAACAACTGCTGTGTGATCTTACCTGCACTCTAAAAAAAAGGAAACTCATAGAACCAAAAAGTAGAATGGTAGTTGCCAGGGGCCGGGGGTGGAGGAAATGGTGGAGACATTGGTCAAAGGATATAAGTTCTAAGATTAATAAATTCTGGAAATTGAAAGCACAGTATGGTGATTATAGTTAACAGTACTTTATTGGAAGTTGCTAAGAGATCTTAAGTGTTCTTATCACAAAGAAAGAAGAAAAAAAAGGTAACTACGTGAGGTTAGTTAACTTGATGGTGGTAATCATTTCACACTGTATACACATATTAAATCATCACATAGTATACCTTTTATTTATTTATTTTAAATGGACAAGTTATTTAATTAGGTTCTTTGCAAGAAGTTCAGATTACTACTTTGTGAGGGTAAATTCCATTTGTGAGAGCAAACACAGAGCGGAGGTAGCCCTGGAGCTGAGGGACAGCTTTGATTCTTCGCAGAATTTGTGAGTCCACAGCTTTCTGGTCAACCTTGCAATGCTCTGTGATCTCGTATTTCTCTCTCTCTGTGTCGAAGATCTCACCCTCCTGGTGTCTTGGCTTACGCAGCTTCTTCTTCTTGAAGTAAGTGTCAGTGAGATGTTCTGGGATTTTCACACCACTGATACCGATTTTGGTGGAGGTGGCAATGACAAATTTCTGGTGTGTTCTACGCAGAGGAACTTGATTGAGGGATAGAGGCCCAGTCACAAGTAGCAAGCCACTGCCCAGCTGCTTCAGGAAAACAACCCTCTTGCCTCTGTGGCGCCCCGTGAGGATGATCAGAACAGTCCCAGGAGTGATGCTGGCGCACAGCTTCCTCACATGCTTACTGAACGGTTTCTTGCCGTGACTCAACAGTTTCCGAGGCACATCTTCAGTAGGGTAATACCTAGGCATTTTGCGAAGTTTGACCACTTGGGTACCACCATTCTCGTCAGCACCAACTGGTTTTGTGACAGTATCAAGAACCCAAACCTTCTTTTTCTTTTCGACCTTGGATTTAGCTGCTGAATACTTTCTTTTGTACAGGGCCTTTCTGGAGTACATGGCTGATCGGGAATATCTGCCAATTCCTCTGACCAGGACAGGGTTTTGGCTGCAGTGGGGCTTCCCCTTCTTAACTTTCTTCACCATTTTCACCTTTTTAGCCTTGTTGACAGCATCAGCCTTCTTGGCTTCAGGTTTTTTCTCCTCAGTATCTGGCTTCTCAGCCTTTTCACCTGCCATCTTGCAAGACAGGAAAGAACAAATTATCACATAGTACACCTTTTAAAAAGTCTTGTGGTACGACCTAATTTTTTTTTAATTTCCCCTGAACAGATGCTTTCAGAGGAAGAAAGTATGATGCACCATTTGCCTTCACAGCTGGCCAGAGCTGCTGAGTCACTGCTCATTAGTAAGGATCCTATTCACCTCTCTCCTGGCCTCCCTGTTGCCAACAAAAACCAGGGTCTGGTCTTTTAAAAGGACCTTGTTACCAGAACCTCAGAGAAAAAAGCAGGCCAACCAACCTGACATGGGGAAGATGAGGCTGATGAAGAAAGACAGATGTGAGAGCACAAAGCAGAACCCACCTGAATCCACAGATTCACAACCTCTGGTGAGATTGGGGTCTTAAGTTTGAAAAGCCAGGTGCTCACAGGTTCACAGCTAAACCTGACTGTTGGAGAAAATATTCAAATGACTCAGATTGCTAAGCTAGTATCTACAGATGGCCAAGGAGAGACCCAAGATTTGGAGGGTTGTTGTTTTGGTTATTTCATCACTAAGTCATGTCTGACTCTTTTTGTGAACCCATGGAGTGTAACCCACCAAGTTTCTCTGTCCATGGGATTTCCCAGGCAAGAATACTGGAGTGGGTTGCCGTTTCCTTCTCCAGGGGATCTTCCCAACTAAGGGATCGAACCAGAGTCTCCCGAGAACCCTGCAAAAAAGGCGGGTTCTTTACCACTGAGCCACCTGGGAAGCCCTCATTATTAAGTGGGAATTGTCCCGTCTCCTCTCCTCTGCCTGCCTCCTCACTGCTTGTCTGTGCAGGTCTCACAAGAGTCCAACCTGCTCCTGCCAGCCAGGAAGGCCCTCCCCAGCAGGCCCTTCCATCCCTCACTCAGTGAGGACCCCGTGGTGGGATGGCCGGCTCCTGAGCCCTTGTCACATAGCAAAGTCGACAGCCTCAGTGGGGAGGCCGTGAGTTTGAGAGGG